GGGGGTGGGGGAGAGGTGGTAGGGGTGGGCAGTATAGGGGACAGGGCAGTGTGGGGATAGGGTGTAGTGTTGGATACAAGGTAAAATTAAGGCAAAGTAGGGAAGGAGGGCACTTTGGAGGATGTGCAAAGAGCCATTGTAGTGATGGCAGAGTTATGTAGGACACAGGGATGTGTAGGGATGGGTTGGGGGGGATATAGAGGGATATAATTGGGATGGTATGCAGAAGGCATAGAGCAATGATGATGATGATGATGCAGAAGGAAGGACAGGATTCTTTGGAGTATGTTGTTGGTGTTTGGGAGCAGGGCAGTTTAGGATGACTGCTAGAATTATAAGATGGTGGATATACCCTTGTTCTAAATTGAGAAGTTTATCGAATAAAGTGATGCTTTTTAACAGTAATTTTTCTGCATAGTAGCAAGTATATATGTATGGTTGACAATTATAATTTTTGTGATAGATCCTGGATGGGTTAGGCCTGGGACCTAATGGACCCCCAGTGCCACCCCCAGCAGAATTTGCTGTGGTGCCATATCCAGTAAAGAGACGTGCCCCAGGAGACACAGAGCCCAGCAGCCACTATGTCTTTGTAGCTGCATCTGCTGATGATCCGTAAGTAAAACTTTTATTGCACTACTGAGACTATTATTTCAAAGTTACTCAGTGACTCAGTGACTGTCACACTTTTTCCAAAACTGGAGATGTAGATGTGATCAAGAATCATTTGAAGCATCTGTCCCCTATTTGATAATCAGTAAGTTACAAATGTAGTTTCATTAGGCGCTTGTTTGTAATAAAATCATAATTTTGAGTTATTGGTGCCTGTTTGGGTCAGTATGTAAAGCTCTAGTTGCATGTCTTTTTAACTACCATACAGTGACTTTTCAACCAAGGCCATTCATTCTCATCTTTCCATCATGAGCCAGTGTAGGGCCACCATCTCCTTACTTTTGCCATAAAGCACCTTTTAGAAGACTGACCTCATTGTTATTTTGATGGCTGATATCAACTTAAAGCACCACCTAACCATGGCCGAGATACCAAATTAATGTATTTTATATCTGTATTCCAGTAACATAGCCTCTGAAGAAAAACCCAAGGAGCCTGAGCCTGAGGAAGAGAAGTCAGTGACCCCAGACAAGAGCAAGGAAGACCACACGACTCCCACCAAGAGCACCAAGGGCTCCAAGGCTGAAAAACTCAGGGCTGGGGCCGAGAGCCAGAAGGCACAGAGAAAGACCAGTGCTGGGAAGAAGGGAGGAAGGAAGGGATCAACCAGTGGGGCTGCCTCACCTCCGCCTGGGTCTGTGACCCCAATTATGGACGCTGACCAAGCTAGGTAGGTTGAGGATTGGGCAGTATTGGGATATCCAGGGGAGGGACAAAAAAAAATTTGTAGGTTATAATCATTGGCAATTTTAAGCATAGAATAGGAAGCAAATCGCTTCAGGTAAAATAATTAGGAGGCAACATTTCTGACTGTTTATAAAGAAGACCAGATATTAGAGGCCAAAATTGATGCTCACTTTTAACTCTTATTCAGAATCTGTGATAATTTGTGTGAGACAGATTTTATGCACCAAAATAATAAAGATTACTACAATAACAGTGCATTAGTAGTTGAATTTTTGTATAACTGTCACATGTGTTCTTTATCATTGACATCTTACTTCTGTCATTTTGCTTTCTAGCACAATCGGAGATGGTGGGGATGCCAAGAACCCCAAGCTGGGCACTTTCCGCTGGGTCATCCCGGCCAATGGGGAGGTGACCATCAGGCTGAGGTTTTTATCAGAGGAACTGGGTCAGTTTGACCAGACGCTGAACTTTGAGATAGTTGGTACCCGCCGCAGATACCAGCTGTACTGCAGAGGGATCTGTGCCTTCCCTAATATCAGCAGAGAGCCAAGGTAGGGGGTTGGGTTTATTGATAGGCTTTGTATGTAAAGTGAAAGGATGTAATTTTCAAAATTTCTACTCTGAGCTGGCTTGTGCAAATCTAAGCATAAAATTTTCAGATTAAAAAATTTAATATCTACGGATTTCATCATAGGTCTAGTTTATTTGGATTTAGACAAGCAGTTTTCTGATACCTTTAACACAATTAGCAAATAATAATTGAAATAGTCATTTGAGAGCCATATGATAAAGATTTCCAAGGATATTTCAAGTTCGTATTATTTTTACTTTAACAGGATTGTGTTTCAACACCGCAAGAAGAACAAGAAGAGTGATGAAATAGTGTCAAAGAAATACATCCTCATGAATGAGGTGTTTGAGTTTGGACCTCTGCTTGTTGGAAAGCCAAGAGACAAGTAAGTAAAAGAGTGACATAGAGATAGTTAAATTTGAATTGATAATTTGTTTCATCCATTTGTGTCGTGTGTAAGTACTGCAGCTTTGGTCTCTATGAACTGAAATATAAACACTTAAAAAGGTTTGAACTTATGTTGTAAAATTAAAAAATTAACACAATATGAATGTTTTTGTCATCTGTTATGCTTATTCATGTGCCTCCCTTTTTGTCTTAAATGTACTTGTATGTTATCACAAGTTTATTGTACTTACAACAATTGTTTTGTCACATTTATCACAATTACATGCTATCACATTTGTATTACATTTCACTATTTTGTTTCCAGGATAAAAGAAGGCAAGTTCCCAGAGCACATGGAGAAGATGACCATCATGAACACCTCTCCGCTGGACGCTGACATTAGTTTCTGTTACTATAACGACAGCAAGGCCGAGACCTTCCTCCTTGACCCGCCCACCATGTTGCTGAAACCTGGGGAATCACAGGTAAAAACTGATTTTATTCATAATTTCCTGTGATCTACTCTGTTCTTTGTTTTATTTATTTATTATTGATTAGACAGAGTATTTATGCAATAACTCAACATTGTTTTCCAGGTGAGAAAGGCACATGCAGGCATTTGAATTCAGACATGCGGCTATGTATAGTATAAGCCAAGTGTAATTAGCATTTTATCTCAATATTTATTACAAAATCTACTATTGTTAATTACATGGACGAAATATGGGTCAATTTTTCATTGTTTTATGAAATATGGATATATTTTCTAGGAACTGTCTATCTGGGCATACCCCAAGACAGCTGGTTTCTATGAGGACACCATTGTGTGTTGTATCAGAGAGAATCCAGAGCCTGTCACATTCAAGGTGTCTTGTCATGGTGTCAGACCTGAGCTGGAGCTGGATAAGAAACAGCTGTTGTTTGAGAAAGTTCTGCTTCACAGGTATGTGGCACAACACATTAAGGATTGTAAACTGAAAGAAAGATTAAAAAATAATTTTAAAAAAGATAGCTATAAAAAAGAATAAATAAAAAAGGAAGAAATCTGTTCCAAGCATGATTGTTAGAGTTTTGATGAAAGTTTGTTCAAGTTTCTTGCTTATAATTTATTTTCCCATTTGATTAGTTTTTTTTTTGATATGTTGATTTCATGAAAACACAGAGAAAAGTCACTAAACTTATCCTTTTTAAAATGAATTTTCTGATTATACAAATGATATTTATTGATATATCATTTTTAGTAATTATTATTATTTTAAACAAATAAAAACAATGTTGATATTTATGAATATTCCAGGAAGGACACAAAGACCATCTACCTGAGGAACAGCACCCTCCTCCCTGTGGCCTGGAAGATAGATGGCCTGGAGAGCCTGGGGGATGACTTCTCTGTGTCACAGGAAAGTGGTATCATCCAGCCCAAGTCAGAGTTTGCACTACACGCCCATTTCAGGGCCACCAAAGCCACTGTGACCAGTAAGAAGGTCATCAGGCTGCATGTGAGTATTCCCCATTGAAGTTTCATTGATGTTAAAACTGAATCAAATTTGTAATGCTATTTATTTTTTCCATTAAATTTTTATGTACATACATATATTTTTTTGTAATTTTTTATCACCAGATTTATGATTTTTATAAGATAATTTTGATTTTCAGAAATCCACATTTAGTTATTATGATTCCTAGTTTTAAATTAAATAATGTATTCTAAGTCAAGATATTAATTTGATAAATATAGTAATTTTCTCATCTTATTTTGCTGATATTTGATTCACATTTTCTGTCTAGATCATGGATGCAGAGGGATTCATGGGTATGGTGTACACAGAGACCATTCAGGTCCATGCTGAAGCTTACGATGTGGCTCTTGACATGAGCTTCCCGAAAGGTGCAGATGGTGGCATTGACTTTGGGGCATTGAGAGTTATGGAAGAGTCCAAGCAGCAGATATCCCTGAAGAACAAGGGGAAATATGAGATTCAGTACAGGTGAGGTCATAGATTAGATTGATGTCAAAGGTTGTGTTAGGTCATAGTTGAAACTTACAGCATGTAGTTTGTCAGTGATGTTTTATGGATTTGTTAAAGTAGAGCAATTATGAAATATGTAATTTGTTGTAGTTGCAATAATAGTGATAATTGTAGTAATGTAATAATTGTGTCTTAGATTTAAAATTTGAAATAATTATAATTCTGCTGACAATATATCATTGTGTGCATCACATCATAAGCAGTCATCAAATCCTCTTTTCTCCTCCAGTTTCACCTTTGAGCCCACTGATGACCCAGCCACCAAGGACGTCCACAACCTGTTCAGCATCAGTCCAGCCAAGGCCACTCTCAGCCCTGTAGATCGCCCCACTCCTGTCTCTGTGGTGTTCCGCTCTCGTCAGGAATGCTGGATCAGGGACCAGCCTATCTTGAGATGTCAGGTGATTGAACCAAACTATGGCGATGGCGGGGAGGTCATAGCCAGCATTCCTGTCAAGATCACTGTTAAGGCTGTCTTTAGCAAGTAAGTATTGATATGTATATTTGTTTATTTTTTATGTTTTATTTATTTACTAGAAATTGTTGCACTAGAAATTGGTGAAAGATATTATAGTATTTTTTCAAAGATCTTATTCCATTTTATTTTTTGTTGTACCTCAATCAATTTCTCAGTTGTTAAATATTTTATTTTATAATTATTTCAGATACAACATCTACCCAGTGACGGACATGAACTTTGGAGCGCTCCTGGTGAACAGTAAGAAGTCACGTACTTTCACCATAGAGAACAAGGGAGAGTTTGACTTCAAGTACACTGTGGCTAAGATGGTCAGAGAGAAAGACAAAGAGGTTGCACACAGATCAAGAGGGTAAGAGAAGGGTACTTGACTTCTTTGTTTATGTAGCTGTTGTTCTACCTGTTGTATATGGTTGGAGGATGGGCAATTGGGTTGGGGGTAGGGATGAGTTGTTTTAAGAAGAAGGGGATGCAACAAATTGAGTTGTCTTTTTCCTTATCTAAGCAGTTTTTTTTTGGGGGGGGGAGGTCATTGAAAAAATAGAATTTATTTTCCTTGCACTTTGTTAAAAATTGTATCAACAAATGTAAAAAAGACATAAATCTAGGGTAGTACATGGGAATGAGTTAATAGGCCACTTAATTAAATGGCAAATTACATAGTTAATAATTTTTTTCCAGAGCTGGAAAAGACAAAGATGCCAAGCGTACCAAGTCTAGAGATGGCTCTAGTTCTGGTCGCTCTGTTGTCAAACCTAAGAAAACGGAATCTGTCAGGTAAAATAGCATGTGACACTTTTCCACACACATATACTGCTGATTGTGATGTACATGTATAATTCTTGTGTGATCATGTGAACCCCATGCTTATCACAGTTATACAGCTATATGCATAGACACTTTTCAGAATTGCTTTATTTTTTGCTTTGTAAATCTTATCCTCCAGCCTCACATTTACAAACAAATATTTCACTAGAATGATGTTTCAGGTCATTAACTTTGGCAAAAGAAAATAAAAGATATTTGATTCCCTTTGACCCTTGTATCTTTGACTATTTAAAATGAACTTATTTAAGTAAAACCATAGATATATTAGCATGACTCAAAGTGATTTTATCAGTGCACATATGTCTATAATCCCAGGTATTTTGCTTTTTCTTAAACCACTCTTACGAAGTCTATCATATCAATTTTCATCTGTTGGCTAGTTCTTGTACTTTACAATGTTTTCTTATCTTCTTTCTCTTCTCTCTCACTCTTTCTCTCCCTTTGTGTGTGCATGCTAACAGTAGTGAAGTAGGCAGTCAATACCAAATTAAGCCACAGCCTAAATCAAGGGCCTTCTATAGGTAGGCTTATTTAGCTGATTAGTTACCTCAACTATGCATTATTTGCTTTTCATACTTTTTTTTGCTTTTTTAAATTCTACACCAGAAAAAACATGGTGTGAAATGTCCCCATAAGCAACTGGAAATATTTGTGAAGAATTAGCTGTGACATAATATTATATGTCAGGATGAGACATTCCACAATGTCAGAAAGAACAATACAATGTATAATCTTTGGCAGCACATTTAGTAAATAAACACAGAAACACACTGTGTCTTGAACCCATTCCTATTAATACATTGTGGTCACTTGATGTTTACAGACAGGACCTGGGTGTGGGCGGTGGTGGTCAGTCCCGTCTCATCCTGGGCATGTTCACCATTTTCCCAGCCTATGGCATCATACTGCCCAATGGTCAACAGGTCATCAATGTGGACTGTATAGCTGAACAGCCTGGCAGGTGTGATGAGGTGGGTGGAGAGGTTAATTTAGAATTTTATGAATAAAATAAGATGAAATAAAATATAAAATATGAAATAATTTAAAATTGTTTTCAAAGGCCACAGCACCTAAATACAAAATATTGTAAAATGGTAACAATGTCTTATTTGGGCCAAGCATGCATGAAATCCAATATTGTATCTGACTTGAGACACATTTTTCCTTACACTTCATATAGCATTTATTTAGGGTCTGAATATCAGGAATAAATATAACCTCTGTGTTAACAACTGCACTCATATACCTTATATTATGAACCACAATTTTCAATGAGCAGCATTACTATATGTTTATTTTCTTTGATGAATTTTAGGACATTGCCATTGAAATCAGTGACAAGGACCCCTCTGATAATCCCACGGGCATCCCCTATCGGCTGATGGCAGAAGCCTGCATTCCCTCCATCAACCTGGCTGATGTGGGGTCCATCTTTGAGGAGCACAGGATCTGTAAGAACTTGTCTGTCTGGCAGCACAGTCACCAGGTGAATATTAAATTCAGTGTGTTTCATGCACATTGTTTTGACTATATGTATAATGGATGTATACAAATACAGTATTTGACTCACATAATCTATGCAACAGTTGCTGAACTAAAAAAAAAAACAAAACATTCATCCAAAAAAAAACATTACAAAAACTTCAATTCATAATGTTGAATTTGATCTCTTGCACTTTTAAATCCTTTTTTATTGTTCCCTCTCACGTTTCAGCTGGAGAGTGGTGGAGTATATGGGGAAGATGAGAACAAGTTTGTGTTCCAGAATGTCATTGTAGGCCGCAAAGCCAGAGCACGCTTCAAGATTACCAATACCAACAAGGTAAGCCCAGTAGGGAATTGATAAATCGTTGCTGTTCATACATGTAACAAACTTTGGTATTCTTGGTTGCTGCTGTAGAATTTCATTGTGTGTCAGTTAGTTTAATTGTGTTTAATTCCTGTAGATGATTTTAATCATTAAGGTTGCAATAAATCAAAGTGATAAATCATTGACAGTTCGGCAAAATCAACTATTGAGGCATTTAACAGTGACACATTTTGCTCCATTGAATTAATTTTCTCAGGAATCTATCATGATTGTAATATTTCCCCTTACCTCAGGTACCATGTGATGTCGCCTTCTCTGTGCGACCAGTGGCAAGCCGCCATAGCTCCAAGCACCAAGATATCTTCGAGGTAGAACCTGTCAGGGGTCAAATCTCAAGTCACAGTCACATGTATGCTACAGTCACATTCACCCCACCATCCATGCAGGCGTTTAATGCCATGTTTGAGGCGTCCATTGAGGGCATACCACAACAACAGGCTAAAGGGCGAAACTTGGTGTTTGAGGTGGCAGGTGAAGGCAACCTCCCTCGTATTACTATCATGAAGCCCACGGTGCGCAACAAGAAGGGCCAACCATTGATTTTGTTCAGGAAGATCCTGATTGGACGAAATGAGAGGATGCCATTACTGCTGGTGAATGATGGGACTTTGCCCAGCAAGGTAGGTGTCAATATAGCAAAAGAATCCCACATAGCATAAAAAGCATTTTTAAAGATATAGAATCAGATTTAATGTGATATTAATTAATAAATGTTTGGAGGAGAAAAGATAATAATAGATAATAGTTAACCTAAATTGGTGTATTTATACATGAACAAAACATTTATTAGCACTTCAGTTGATGTAATATTTAAAAAGAATGGCACATAATATGGAATCAAATATCTATTAACTAATGAAGTTAAATATGAAAAATAATTTTTTCATCCCAGGTTGACATAGATCTTGTGGACCCAGATGGTTGCTTCTCCATGAAGCCCACAGGAAACACCAGGGCCATCATGGCTGATGGGGAAGACGGTAAGGCTACAGGCACTATTTTTTCTTTTTAAGTCAAGATAAGGAAGAGTAAATAAAACCTTAAGATTTAGATTGGGATGATCATCCTTAACCTAGTAACAATGTCTATAATCTGTGTATTATGAGTATGTTCCTTGATATATGTAATTATAAGAAAGAATGTGATTTTTTAATATATTTTTTTAATATAATATTTTATTATAGTCTATGTAGTGAAGTTTAAGAGTCCATCATTGTACAATTTTACAGTAAACAAAATCATGAACAGCAATTTATACCAATTGTTATTTATATCATCAGATGGTCTAAAGAGGCCTCACACTGCCTCTGTGGTGGTCAATGTAGAGGAGAGTGCCTCCTTTGATGTCATCTTCAAGCCTACCCTGGCCCAGCGGTCAACTGCCCACGTCAGACTGGCCGTGGTGGACAACCAGTACGAGGATTCGGTCATTCAGCTGGTTGGGGAGGGATATGAGGATGACATCACTCTGGATAACATCCACAGCGTGGTGATGCCTGTGGACCCAGAGAAAGAGGAAGGCAATATGGCTGAAGAGGATGTAGAGGGTAAGTTATTATACAGGGGGCATATAACAATTGTTATATATCTGAGACCTTGCACATTGAACCATTATAAAATATAGAAGAAGTGTTTTGATAAAGTTTTGATATTATAAATCTGACATTATATGTTGGGTGTAATTAGGTAAGAAGTGTATTTTGACTAATTAGAATACTTAACCCAACTCAGTTACTGCAAATGACCCATTACTTTTTTTGCTGTCTAGCTGCCAAGTCTAATCATGTCCACTTTGGGGACTGCTACATCAACGAGCCAAGAACCTTGACCTTCACAATGACCAACCACTCCAAGACAGATTGTGTCAGGTTCCAGTGGCCAGACCATGACCAACTGACCTTCTCACCTAAAGTTGGTCATCTCCACGCTGGTGTCTCCAAGGACATGACGGTGACATTCAAGACAGGAGAGCCCAAGTCTCTTAATGAGTCCCCAGTACCATGCAGGGTGACCAAGGTGACCTTTGACAAGCCAGTCAACCAGGTAAGGGTTCAAGTTTTGTGAAGGTTTTTAGATCTCAGTCAAAAAAGGATTTACAAGTTGTCTGTGCACAGTTGTGATAAGTTTTAATTAGTCCATATCACAGTAATGGTTTTTCTGCAACAAGGCATTAATTGTCTGAATATTCCTGGACCAGTATAACTGAAGAAAATTATCAGAGTAATTGTTTCTTAACAAATTTTAGTTTATTGATTACTAAGTAGTTTGCATGGCTGGTTTTGCTATAGAAAAAAGATACAAAATTATTAGCATATGCTAATCTTTTATGCTCTAGTGTAGAGTGTGTCTATTTTCTCTATAGCTCTAGTGTCTATTTTTCAAATTGCAATCTTAACCTTGTTGTCCACATTCCAGGTATCAGACTGGGATGACCGGCTCAGGACAGTGAAGTGGGTGGACGTGACCCCTCCACCCCCAGCTCAGCCAGTAGAGCCTGCACCCCCAGCCCCACCAGAGAAGGGCCAACCTAAACCCCAGACCCCTGTCCCCACACTACCACCTGTCCCTGCCTTCACACCACGACCGGCCAAGAAGAAGGTGATTGAGACCGAACCAGAGCCTGCCTTTACTGAGGTTCCTGACTCCTCACGCACTGTAGACATGTTGGTGTCTGCGAACTCAGACTTCTGTAAGGTCAAGTGTAAACTGGACTCCATCAAGTTTAAAGACACACTCATGTTCCAGACCAGGGTTTATGAGTAAGTAGTAAACATCGTTAAAAATGTAGTACACTTATGGACAGGTGATATGCTTGTTATCTGTCACAGAGGTGTTAATATTGTTGCAGATATTCTAGTTGACCTTTTATAATTTTTTTCTCTTCTATTAAATATGCCATTTTGCTCTTTTGTTTTCCATTTAAATAATTTTTCTGTTTGAATTTGTTATATTTCACAGGCATTGAACTACATTATTTTATGAATATAATTTATTATTGGTATAATATATTACTGTTTTATATCTTACCCTCTTCTACATTATCTTCCTCTTCCTCATCCAGGTTTCAGATGAACAACAAAGGCAGTGTCCAGCTGGACTACAACTGGCAGGTGGTCATGGAGAACTTCTCGCCCATGGCACGTTCTGTCACATTCGCCACAGATCCTGACCGTCCCGAGTCCCGCGCCAGTTCTGTGACCAGTTACATAAGCGACATAGGTACTGGTTATATTCCATACTCCATTGAGCCAGAGTGTGGCACCATTGCTGCTGGGAAGAAAGCAACATTCAAGGTCAAGTTTTCTCCTCTTGACGTGCATGAGTTTGAAGCTAGACTTATCTGCAGGTGAGTGCTGGCAATATTTATGAATGGAACATCTATATGCAGGACAGCATCTTAACTACAGGCTGTTAGATAGTATTGAGATAATGGATCTCTCTTGTCGTGCAGCCTTATGATTTGCAGAGTTAAATTGTGATTCAATCCTGTTATGCTGTGTACAATATTTTAAATCATAGCTTTTCCCTTTTTTCATCCTAAGTAATTAGCAAGCAGTGGTAATTTACATTAAGCTCCTCACCTTGATTCCTGAAGATTTATTTTTAATTTAATGCTTTAAATGTACAAGTTGGGCATGGGATTCTCAGTGAATGCACATTACAATTCAGTTTTCTCATCTTTACTTTATATCCACAGTGTTCCCAACCTAGAGGAGGGCAAGCAGGGTCCAGTGATAGCAGTGAAGGGGCGCAGTCTCATGCCCTACTGTCACTTTGAACTAGAGGACTCCGACTACATCAGCAATGCCAGGAGGAACCCTGAACTCCCTGGCCCCAATGGTGCCCCCTCCGGCACCTCGCTTGACCCCAATACCAGGGTCATTGAGTTCCATTCCATTGGTGTGGGTGTCAAGAATACAAGGTAATTCTATGCTGATTGATGTAAGAAATTTGAACAGTTGTGATATCATTTAATAAGATTTTTCCATTGGGATTTACATTGAAATTCAAGGGGTTTAAGAGTATGAACTGCTTGTGATATTTAGAATTTTTACTGCAAGTATTGCCTGGGCCTCTATTTGTGACATATCAATCAAATGTATTAGATATGATTAGTGTCATTGATATTTTCAGTGCTTTTAATGTTAGTTGTTTTAATTTTTTTTTTTTTTTTTTTTGTTAGATTATTTTGTAGACTTCTGTAATATGATAAATAAATAGAACTTTAAACTTATGTTAGTAACTTTAACAAAATGACAATTTTGGTAATATTCCATTTTCTTTCAGGAAATTCTTCATTGTGAATCCCACAAATGCCACATTCACATTTACTTGGGTGAATGAAGATGCCCAGGATCCCAAGAAGGTCCCTGTGTTCAACTGCTTNAAAGTATATATGTATGGTTGACCATTATAATTTTTGTGATAGATCCTGGATGGGTTAGGCCTGGGACCTAATGGACCCCCAGTGCCACCCCCAGCAGAATTTGCTGTGGTGCCATATCCAGTAAAGAGACGTGCCCCAGGAGACACAGAGCCCAGCAGCCACTATGTCTTTGTTGCTGCATCTGCTGATGACCCGTAAGTATAACTTTAAATGCACTACTGAGACTATTCTTTCAAAGTTACCCTTTCAAATATTCATTAAAAATTACCAGCAAGACACTCAGTGACTTTCATACTTTTTCCAAAACTGGAGATGTAGATGTGATCAAGAATCATTTGAAGCATCTGTCCCCTATTTGATAATCAGTAAGTTACAAATGTAGTTTCATTAGGTGCTTGTTTGTAATAAAATCATAATTTTGAGTTATTGGTGCCTGTTTGGATCAGTATGAAAAGCTCTGGTTTATGTCTATTTAACTACCACGCAGTGAATTTCCCCCCAAGGCCATTCATTTTCATCTTTCTATCATCTCCAGACATTTGCCATAAAGCACTGCCTTTTAGAAAACTGACTTCATTGTTATTTTGATAACTGATATTAGCTTTTAAGTTTAAAAAGATAAACTTTAAAAAGCACCACCTGACCATCACCCAGATACCAAATTAATGTATTTTTATTCCTGTATTCCAGTAACATAGCCTCTGAGGAAAAACCCAAGGAGCCTGAGCCTGAGGAAGAGAAGTCAGTGACCCCAGACAAGAGCAAGGAAGACCACACCACTCCCACCAAGAGCACCAAGGGCTCCAAGGCTGAAAAACTCAGGGCTGGGGCCGAGAGCCAGAAGGCACAGAGAAAGACCAGTGCTGGGAAGAAGGGAGGAAGGAAGGGATCAACCAGTGGGGCTGCCTCACCCCCACCCGGGTCTGTGACCCCCATTATGGACGCTGACCAAGCTAGGTAGGTTGAGGATTGGGCAGTATTGGGATATCCAGGGGAGGGACAAAAAATAATTTGTAGGTTATAATCATTGGCAATTTTAAGCATAGAATAGGAAGCAAATCGCTTCAGGTAAAATAATTAGGAAGCAACATTTGTGACTGTTTATAAAGAAGACCAGATATTAGAGGCCAAAATTGATGCTCACTTTTAACTCTTATTCAGAATCTGTTATAATTTGTGTGAGACAGATTTTATGCACCAAAATAATAAAGATTACTACAATAACAGTGCATTAGTAGTTGAATTTTTGTATAACTGTCACATGGGTTCTTTATCATTGACATCTTACTTCTGTCATTTTGCTTTCTAGCACAATCGGAGATGGTGGGGATGCCAAGAACCCCAAGCTGGGCACTTTCCGCTGGGTCATCCCGGCCAATGGGGAGGTGACCATCAGGCTGAGGTTTTTATCAGAGGAACTGGGTCAGTTTGACCAGACGCTGAACTTTGAGATAGTAGGCACCCGCCGCAGATACCAGCTGTACTGCAGAGGGATCTGTGCCTTCCCTAATATCAGCAGAGAGCCAAGGTAGGGAGTTGGGTTTATTGATAGGCTTTGTATGTAAAGTGAAAGGATGTAATTTTCAAAATTTC